CCTAGTCAAAAATTGCAATGTGGATTCCCCTGGTTCTTGAATTGCCGAGTAAAACTCACAGCATCTCAGAATTAGAGGAGGCTTGGGATCGTAGTATTCCTTAATTAAATCCATCAACTCTTTTAGTATCTGGTATCTCAGGGAAAGCTGGACTCCTAATAATCGGAAGAGCTGCACATCCTCAAGCTGTCAGGAGAATTACTCAGTGCTTTTCATCTGCCCAATGTCATTCACCTGGAAAAAATGCCGCATTATTTCCACATACTGGGCCCAATCTTCAATGGCAGGATCAAACAAATCAAGCTTCCCAATAATGGCATGATGCCAGAAATGCTTACCCCAACTCAAAGATGACTGTTGCGATCAAATTTCTTGCTTTTCTCTCGTCATCATTGAAATAATTCCACAGAGGTAGGTATCCAGTCACCAAGTCACTCTTTATTTACGTTTGGAGAATCCTGGACACTGATTCAGCTCCATCAGAACCGGCTCTCAGAGTGAACAGAACCTCTGACACTCCTGTTTATATCTGTCAGCCAGGGCTCCCTGATTGGATCAGGTTAACAGCCCCAATCAGGGAACTCATATTCTATGAGGCCCACCTGGCTGACCTTGTTACAATCACTACACTTTCCACTACCTTGAAGATTCACTCACTCCACCACCGGTGTATTTGGCAACAGTGTGTACTATCTCAAAGGTTAAAGGTGTACTGGAGTAACTGGCCAAACCTCCATCGCTGCTAACTTCAAAATTACTAAGATGCTCAGGTTTAACTTGCAAGTACCAATGGCACATAGAAAATTGCCTCTGACCAGTGTCTGACCTCTAAGCACCCTCAGTTTGAATGTATGAAATGGGCAATGCAATGGTTGCTAATCCCATAAAGCTGCGCTTTGCAAATGGCTGCTTCAAGTTTTTGTTGGTGCAATGTCTCAGTGTACAGGAAACCTAGATGCCGCACTTTCAGCCATCAAATTGACTATTACTCCTCCTACCTTGGGCATTGTTCGAGCCCGCCTGTCGGAGCACTTTTCATTTGATTTGATTTATTATTGTCACGTATACCCAGATACAGTGAAAGTGTTGTTTTGCATGCTCTGCACACAGTCTGTACCATACAAAGTGCATCAGAGGGCATAACAGAGAGTAGAATACAATGTTATAGCCACAGAGAAGGTGCGGAGAGAGAGAGAGAGATCAGAATTAATATTTGAGAGATCTGTTCAAAGTCTGATAATAGCAGGGACGAAGCTGTTCTTGAATCTGTTCATGCATGTATTCAAACTTTTATATCTTCTGCTCAATGGAAGAGGATGGAAGAGAGTGTAATCGGGGCGTATCTGCATGAAACAGCCATTAAAAGAACAGTAATGAAAGCCTTTAGCTCTGGCTGAAGCACCAACAAGGCAAGGCTTGGCTTGGATGGTGCTTGCATGTTGATAGGCTCAATATGCGCAAGTGCTATGTGAGCAGGCCTGAGATGCAGCTTGGTCCAATCCTTGAGCTGGGTGTCTGTCCCTGCACAAAGTCTTCCTGCTGCAGCCGTTTGCTGCTGATAGCTAGTGTGACCTGCAATATAATTCTGTGCCATGTAGGGAGCCTGCCAGTGTATCAGAGAGGTACCACGATGGTCATGATGTATTGACAGATGCTGGGTGCCAATGTCCGTGTGCAGCTGGTGTTCATGAAGCATGTCTTGTTATGTTGTTGCCCAGTGTCCAACATGGAGGTTATTCAGAGCAAGTGGTGAGCTGAATCTGTCAGGTATACACTCTGGTTTCCTTGTTGAGTTCTTCCGACATCTAACTTATTTGACAAGTTTGTTAAGATTGGAGTCTGAATATTAATGATGTGAGTTGATAGGGCACTTAATGATCAATAATGGCTGTCAGTTGGCATCTTGCCACTCCCCATTGAGAATCTCACCATGCTGCTTGTGAAAAGTATAAAAGATAGAGTGAGGTTATTTTGAGATCGAGATGAGCCTCAATGCACTTGTCACTGTTTCCTGCCACACATATTGCCAAGGCCCAAGTACTCAATCCCCTACAAATTTCACCCATGAAAACACCATTACCTTCAACCATATACCACTCTGACTGTTCGTTTGTTGTCATTCAGTCAAAACGTTGAACTTCCTAAAAGCACTTAATGGTGTACCCACGCTGCATGGTCTACTGCGGTTCAAGTCTACCACCTTGAGCACAATTAAGGATGAACAATAAATGCTAGTCTAATTAATTACACCCATAACTCAGTAACAAAAACAAAATAAAATTGGTCAATGAATGTTTTCCATTCACCTAAACTGTTTATAACTTTAATCAATGCAGTTGGGTCATACATAGCAGGTTTATCATGTTAGTTTTTTTAATTCATTCACGGGATGGGGGCATCACTGGCTAGCCAGCATTTATTGCCCAGAGGGCAGTTAAGAGTTAACCACATTGCTGTAGGTCTGGAGTCACATGTAGGCCAGACCAGGTAAGGATGGCAGTTTCCTTCCCTAAAGGACATTAGATATTGATGCTGATTCTTATCACATGAAATTTAATTATATTTTGGAATCTCTTAGTTACTAAGAAGTAAAGGGCGAAATGATCTCATTTAATGATGGAACAGGCTTGGGGCTAAATAGCCTACTCCTGTTCTAATGTTTCTGTATCCTGTTTATAATTTTTTTCAGAACTTTCACTTCAATTGCAACCTTAGATTAACCTTGACATAGCAATCTTTTTGTGTTGACACTTCAAAGTGTATTTAAGCTCCTCAAAGCTGACTTCTGAAAATACGGTCTCTGCGTTTAATGGTAAAATGAAACTACAATGGGCATTTAAATATTGGTATCAGTATCATTTGTTACAATTTTCATGTGGTGTTTATATTTAAAGGGTTTTTGTTGCAAAAGTATTGACAAAAGCATCATGAGTAGGTTGTGATAATGCCTCTGTGACATACAATACAGCAAAATAAATCCCAATATGAAGACTTCACTGCTCAGATTTGTAAGACATTTTTCTTACAAGGACCAGATTGTAAGCTTCATTCTTCCAAACATATTGTATATGTTTTGTGATCACTGAATATGTCTCCAGACTACTACCAAACTAAGCTAAAAGAGCCACAGTTACAGTGAATTATTAAAAGGATATTTTATTTGTGGAAGAAGGGAAATAAACTGGCTTAGTTACCTTGCCCCACTACACATACACATCCTGTTAGACTGTCAAGAGAGTAGTAGGTCAGATCATTCCATTCTGTAAGCTGAAGGAAAAGAAATGGTAACAAATAGCTCCCATAGGAAAATATAGGAAAGTGAAGGTAATTGTGAAATAATATCAAATTAAGTTAGTTTGAGTTTTAGTAATTGAGTGTATTATACTTGGCTCCAACTATTAATGAGCTAAAGTTCTATTTGAGATATATTTTTGGAATAATTACAGGTTCAATATGTTTTTTTTGTTTGAAGTCTATCATGTTTGAACGTACTGTAAATAGTGTAGTCTTTGTGACTTTATGTACATACCCTGTGCCTGGAGATTTTTTCCCAGTCAGTATAATGAGAGTCTCAACAAATAACAGAAATGAAGGAACAGGAAATAAGAATTGGAGGTAACATTCAATTTTAGATGCCATGCCAGGAGACACATTTGACCAGACTAGTGGGCTTGTTCTCTGATACTTGCCTCAGGGGATGTAACTGCTTCACTTAGTACAGGCATTCCATTATATTGGAATCCACAATGAAAGTTAGTGAGGATTTAAAAACATTTTGTACAGCAACCATATAATATCATTGCAACTGGATATTATAGCCACAGATATGTTTAATTCATCTTTGTGGCCATGATGAGTTTTGTTTATTCTTTGCTAAGACCACAGGGGAAGCACCTTAATGCAGCAGAATGTTCTTAGCAAAAAAGAGAAAAAACTTCTTGCATTTGGTTCAACATTACCAGCAGTTGGACAAAAAAAATTGCATTGTTTTTAGAAATTGATGTGTGTTAGTGGGAGTGGGTTTTGAGTATGAAGATTTACTCTTTAGGTAACATGAGGAAGCACATTTAGTAACTTTGTCCTCTGTTAATGGGTCTTTATTGTTTTGCCCTAACAATCTCCATTTATATAGTGCCTTCAGCAAAGATAAATGTTCCAAGATATTTCAAAGGAGAGCGTATTCAGACAAGAATTGATCTTTGTGATGAAGAAGATACAAGGGCAGAGATTTAAACTGGCGTCAAATAGAGCATCAAGGTTGCAACTTACCAACATGAACTAGGCACAGTGGTTGGGGAGTGGGCTGCAACTTGAGCCAAAGAAATGGTGTGTCTGAATAGAGGACAAGATAACGTCTTTGGTTCTCACAACATTTGCTTTGGAGGAAATTGCAACTCATTCAGGGATGCATGTTTAACAAGCAGACTGATGACGCAAAGGCAGAGGTGGGAGGGAGAAGGAGAGGGCAAAAAGAAGCACTGTACTTGTTATCAATGTACATGCACAGCCTTGAGATGATTTTGCCAGAGCCATTATATGGATGAGAGGCTGAAGGATGGAAAGGTGCAGGACTTCGGGGTAATGATGAGGGAGCAGGAAGGGAAGCTGTCGCTCTTTTGGGATCAGTAATAGTGGAGCCAAACAAAGCAGTAGGATACAGTTGGGCGTTTGATAGACATTATAGGAGGAGGATACAGTTGACTATATCAACAACTGCAGACAAATCAAGAAAAAGCAACAAGTGGTAATTCATTCACAATCCTAGAGAATGTGATTTGTGACTTTGATTATCAACATCTCAGTGCTGTGGCAGAAGTGCCCCCTAGACCCATTTAGTGACATGAAACTCTGATGAAATAGCGAGAGAAAAGGGGTAAAAAACCCCTCTTATTGCAACACTCGACACTCATCTAAATTATCCAGGGAGATACTCAAACCCCATGACTATTTTTTGAAAGTGGTGAGTAAGTTTCAAATTATCTGTCTCTTATGTGTTTTAGACAGATCCAAGGAAATGAGTCAAGATCCACCTGAGCAGAACATCGAGAGGAAAAGGAAGAAAGGAGATGAACCTGGACAGCATGTCACAGTAAAGAAAAGTAAAAAGGTGATTAAAGAAGATTGATACAGGGGTCCTGTGTGTGTTGTATTATATCTTTGTGTTAAGTCTTATTTGATAATGATTTATTCTCTGATTGTAGGGAAGGGTCCAGCATCAGAATATTTATCTTAGCCAGCCCTTCCCATGAAGCAAAACTGTTATAATTTGTGTAAATCCAGCAGCCTGACTGTATATTCTGACAATATGCAAATTGTTAATAAATCCACAGTTACATGCTTACATGAGGTGATTAGAATTAAAAATTAAGTAAGATATGCCAGTAAACTCAAATTATCCATGGATGGCCACGGAGTTATGTGATCCAACACTATCATTAGAATTCTTGCTACAAAGCTTTTCATTTCCTGTCAAGAGAAAATAACACAAACCCATAAAACGTTGTTTGTGCTCCTTAGAATGAGAATTACATCACAGTAAAATGATAACTTATCAAACAAGGAAACTTTATGCAACTGGTTAATTCTACATTCCTTTTTGCAAGGATAAAATTCATATTTGAATTTTTTGACAGATGAGATCATAATACGTTGCCTTTTTCTTATCATTGTCTGGTTACCATTGGAATAGTGGCATTATTACATAAAACTATGATTTGCAAATTAAGAATGGATTACAGGAGACGGTATTAGTGACATTATACAACAACTTAGTTTGTCACCGCATAATTGTAAAGTAGCATTCAATTTGGTTTGTGCAGATGTATCCATAACTTCAGGGATTTCAGACTATAACTTATGATCTGCTTACAATTATTGCTGCTGTTCTTGAGGTAGCATTTATGTGGGATGAGAATTTTAAGAATAATCTGGTTATAAGATGAGTCAGTGATATAGTTGGGACTTTGTGACATGAAGCTGCAGCATAAATACAGGTTCATTTTTTCATTGGCTGACCTCAAGCGCTAGCAAACTCAACATGCACAACTTGGAAATTAAACTGTGTCTGGATATACGATCTGGTAAAATACCTTCTGAAGCCATTTATGTAAGATAAATGCAGAAAATGCTTGAAATACTCAGCAGGCTTGACAGTAAGGAGAGAAAAACCAGTTAACATTTTGTGAAAGTTCGCGACCTGAAACATCAGCCCAATTCCTCCTCTCTCCGTATAAGATATTAAAGATACGCACAGGTGCCATTGGAAGTCTAAAAGTAACGCCTCTGTGGAGATTGCTCAGTAGCTTTGAACTTCCTGTGGACAGTTGCCCAGGACCCTGTGCAAATATCTCTGATTCTGCTAGAGTCAAAGAGCTGGGAGAGATCTGGCTTACTTTCTTGTTAGACAGACTAGAAACATGTGTAACTCTTAAGGCCATAAGATGTAAGAGTAGAAGTGGGCCATTGAGCCCATTGAGTTTGCTCCACCATTCAATGAAATTGTGACTAATCTGATAATCCTCCACTCCACTTTGCTGCCTTGTGGGAATTGGGGGCAGCAGGCCTCAATCGCCACTCTTCACCCACCAACTGGCTAAAATTATGGGTGAGGCAGGGCCGGGGATTTATCAGCAAGGAAATACAGCTCATAATTTTGTTGACGTTAAGATTATTCTCAAGAGTCTGTGCATTCATTTTGATGACTGTTTGAACAGCTGGTATGCTCTGGATGCTCAGAGGCATTACCCCGTGACAATATTTGGGTGAATCTTTGGCTTGTTCAGGCTGTTGTTGAAAGTTTAATTATTGTATTTGTTTTTACTGTCCAGCTAACAGAATATTTTGTAGACCCAGAAGTTGAGGAAAAAATTGAAACATGTCTGCCCAAGAAGAGGAAGCGAAGAAAGGTAATTCAGAGCAGATTGAAAATATGAAGAAAAATTACTCAAATGTCAACATCTATAAATGGAATAAAGTTCCAAGATACCTACCTCCTATTTAGTGAAATGCCATCTCACTTTGAATCTGAAATCTCAACAACTCTTCCTAGCAACCATGCTTACCAACATTATTCAAGTCTCCTTTTCATTGAGTGTCATTCATTTTTATTTCAAAATTACTTTGTGTTGGCACCTTTAAAATATCCACCTGTACAATGCTCCATTTAATCTTCTATTTTCTCTCTCCGATCCTCAAATACCATACACTCAGGTCACCCAACTTCTTGCCTATCCCCAAAACTCATTGTGAGAATTCATTTCCTGCACACAGCATCCAAATCAAAACCACCATGGGCCAAGTTCTAAATTACTCCTTACAGGACTGTTACCATGATGTGTTCATCCTTTTTGACTCCTTTGCACTGTTATATGCAGTCAACTACACCCTTCTCTCCCATTATTTTTATTCTGTTTTCCAGCTTGATGAGATTGCACCAACATGGTTCAACAAATTATGACTGTCTGAGACCAGCCTGTGCAATCCTCTTCCTATGCTTATGGTCACCTTTGGAATCATTGTTCTCTCCTCTTTCTTGTCCTTATGCTGCCTATGAAAGTTGTTGTCTACAAGCATGGAGATGTATTTTTCCCATATCTGTGTGCATAGCAAGCAGCTCTAACTTTTAATTAATGATATTTACTTTAAGACCACCTCCCCATTGTCGGACTGCAGTCACGAATGTGTCAAAATGATTTTGAACTGAACATCAGGAGGACTAAATCCTTTATTTTTGTTTCCTACTATAAACCTACTCACTTGCCATTAAATCCATCTTCTTTCCGAACTGTTCTTCCACACAATTTTGCCGGTTTCTCACTCCTCGTATCTGACAATATTACTCCAGATTTAGAGTCACGGCGTCATAGAGATATACAGCATGGAAACAGACCCTACAGTTCAACTCATCTATGCCAACCAGATATCCTAAAAATCTAGACCCATTTGCCAGCATTTGGCCCTTATCCCCTAAACCGTTCCTGTTCACATACCCATCCAGATGCCTTTTAAATGTTGTAATTGTATCAGCCTCCACCACGTCTTCTGGCAGTTCATTCCATACACACACCACCCTTTGCGTGAAAAAGTTGTCCCTTAGGTCCCTTTTAAATCTTTCCCCTCTCACCTTAAAATTATGCCCTCCAGTTTTGGACTCCCCCATCCCAGGGTAAAGGCCTTGTCTATTTGCCCTATCCATGCCCCTCATGATTTTATAAACCTCGATAAGGTCACCCCTCAGCCTCTCACACTCAAGGGAAAATAGCCCCAGTCTATTCAGTCTCACCCTATAGCTTAACCCTCCAACCCTGGCAACACCCTTGTAATTCTTTTCTGAACCCTTTCAAGTTTCACAACATCCTTCCTATATCAGGGAGACTAGAATTGCATGCAGTCTTACAACAGGAGCCTAACCAATGTCCTGTACAGCAACAACATGACTTCCCAACTCCTATGCTCAATGCACTGACCAGCAAAGGCAAGCATAACAATTAGACAGCTCAAAGATGGATCTGCCCAGCCAAGAAATTTACTTGCCCTTTTCTAATGCTGGCAAAATAGCTTTGTGGCTTGTAATCATCTCTTTGTGAGGCCAACAACTTTGTTGGCAAATTAGTGGTCGTATGTGTGTGTATTTTCTTAAATTTTGCTCTGAACCTATTAACCTGAACCCATCCTATTTGTAAATATAGAAGATCTCTGACATTCTGCTAAGCTCAACTCCAAAACCTGCTGCCCCAGCTGATTTACAGAATATGATCGCTCAATATTTCAAAAATGACCGGTCTATAATAGAACTCGAGGAACTGAAACTGCCAGGTATGGAACTAATGTTCTCAAATGTACAGTAAGACTTACAATTTTTGAAGACTACAGTATTATTTCTCTTTAAACTTTCTTTGATCTAGTCAGGGTGCATTTGAAATGCTGTGTGAATGCAATGCATTCTCCTGATTTATTTCTAATTTCAGACACTGAAAATATGGAATGTAGTTTGTTAAACATGCATACAATTCAATGATAACACACTGTTAGACCAGTATAATTTTACACCAGTTTGTTGTGTTATTTTTCAGATTCTTGCTTTCTTCAGAGCAATGACCTCACTCACACCCTGTCCTCCTATCTGAAGCAGGGTAAGGAGCTTACATACAGCACTGCAGTTACGTCACAAGTTTGGTCATGAAGAAAGACAATTCTTTTGCACATCTCTCTACTTGTAATTCAGTTGGAGAAAATGTTGACTGACAGAATGAATAGAATCTATTTGGACTGAGTAAAACATTAACTTTAAATTATTTATGACATACCAGAGGGTACAGTAGCCAGTATTTTGAGGTAGTGTTACTTGCATTCCAGAGATTGTAAATGCAGATCTCACCTTGGTAAACTATGAAATTGGATTCATTAAACCAGATAATTAGGAAGCAGTACAAAATGGATTGCTGTAAAAGCCCAGCAAATTTAACTATGTCCTTCTGGGAAAGAGGCTTGTTGCCCTATCTGCTTAGACTTGCATATGACAGTAGACCCATATTGTTCATGCCAGGATTGGAACTAAATACTGTCTCAAATCTCGCAAAAATGAACTTCAAAATATGCCTGAAGAAAGGCTGCCTGAAATCTGAAGTGAAAGTTGATAACATTGGGAATATTCAGCAGGTTGTTGCATCTTTGGAGACAGACAGAGGGATAACATTTCAGATAAGTAAATAATTCTAACTCAAATATAAGGAATGCTGGAAAAACTCAGCAGGTCTGGTACTATCTGAGGAGAAAGAAATAGAGTTAATGTTTCGGGTGTCGGATGACTTTTTCAGAGTTTCTCTTGTTCTGAAGAAGAGTCATACTGGACTGAAAGAGTCAATTCTGTTTCCTGTCTCCACAGATCCAATCAGACTTCCTGAGTTTCTCCAGCATTCCCTGCATTTGAGTCAGATTTCCAGCTTTCGCAGTATTTCTCTTTCAAATAGTTCTGACAGTTTATCAAGTTTGTGAAGTTTTACTTCAGTCATTTGGTTGTGAAAACAAAATCAGCTATATAACAAAAATCCAGTAATTTCACTATATATGAAAAGAAACATTACTTTACCACAATTTATAATCAAATACAGTGTTTTTATTGAACACAAGGCTCAACTTCAAGTTTGAACTATCAAATTAAATTCCATTTTGAATTTCACACTGTGTCCATAGATATTTGCTGGAATCTATTTTGTGCAGATAATGGAATAACAAAGGGTGCAGTTATATCACATCTTCTGACAATGCAAAGCAGTTTCATATGTGTAATGTGAAAAAGAGCCATAAAGCACAGATTGCCAGCTCCAATCTAATCCTGGTTTCTCAAAAGTTCACAGCATGAAGTCATGTCCGGCCTAGTGCAAAGCCACTTTTAAAAATGATCAAAAAGTGACATTTTTATTACTCGATATCTTGGAAAGTTTTGAAACACTGTTTTCAGATGAGTTAATGTTAGGTCAAAGCAGATGTTCCAGCCTGTGTCCTCTTTATGTTGAAACAGTGAGGGAGCAGAACTCTGCACAAGCATTGAAAGATCCGTCAGTTCTTCTCTCGATGCCAGTCAAACTGAGGTCATTCTCAACTCGGTAGCTGCAGCACAGGCACAGCTCCATCTGACAGTATTGAACTGATTTGCAATGAACTTTTTTAGTAGTCACAAATCATTCTTTTACAAGGCTATGTAGAAAATAGAAAATCAAATTCCTCTTCATGGCATCCTTTCCATGTTTACTGATGCTCTGTTTTGGTTTAAGAGAGTATTTTGTGGAATTTTAAGCCAGAGGATAATTATTGTCTTGCGAAGAATAATGTTCTAATATAACTCAGTCTTCTTCATCTTTTCTTAAATGTAGTATTACTGTCACAAACAAATATTTATTAAGATCTTC